GCACCCCTACTGTATACGTAATTCAAGAAAGCCCAATCCACACTGTGAAGGTAACAAGAGCAAGCAAATTAAAGTTAAGAAATAAAAAATTTAAAAACAGCAATACACTCCTGATGTCAAAGTCCGTCAACATGATGGATTTGTCCCTGTGTGACTGGAAACTTTCAAAGCATTAAAGCTTTAACTCTTTGATTTTTGGGGGCTGGTGCCAAAACTCAATGTTTACAGTGCTTGTCTTACAACGCTGGAATGATTTTCTGTTATCAACCTTGGCTGTACTGTAGCTATGCTGATGTTACATCATCTGCACAGGGTCTCTTTCATTCCTCTTCAAACAGTAGCCAGCTGCCTGAGTGAGAGAAGGATTTTCTGACTCACATATCAATCTGCTTTCTACCAAGATTTTCATAAAGAACTGACTCAGAAATCAAACTAAAAATGCAACACAAACAACAAGATTTACCCTTTTGCTGTTTAACACCTTATGGTTTAATTTTGATCAGATTCACTGCAGATCTCACACTGTGCATTCAATGTAGCAAACACTATAGCTGCTTGTGGTTCATAAAACAGTTAATAAAACATAAAACAATCAAAGACTGTAAAACAAAGTCACCTAATCCTAACTGCAAAGAACATTTTAATGGCGTCCATGGATCTTACTTTAGTCTCGTCCACCCCATTCCTGAAATTTATTCTGATATTGGCTGCTATTTGGGTAAAGTAAACCTTCAGTGATTTTTATTTTATTTCCCTTTTAAATCTAAATGCATGTAATGATAATATCTTTGGAAATAAGGTAATGCAATGTGTGTGTAAGTATGTTTGCATGTGTTGAGGTCACCTTCTCTCCATGGCCCATGTCTTCATTCTTAATGTCGCTCAGTGTTTTCCAGTTCATGTTTAATCCTGTGCCTGCTGACCTGGTCTCTGTCAGCGACTGGCTGTTGACTGCAAAGCCTTCCCGGTCATACCTATAGAGATGACACGTACATGAATAAATATGCGTCGATTAGGCATAGCATTATAAGCACTGACAGGTGAAGTGAATAATACTGATTCTCTCTTCATCATGGCGTCTGTTAGTGGGCTGGATATATTAGGGAGTGATTGAATATTTTGTCCTCAAAGTTGATGCGTTAGAAGCAGGATAAATGGACATGTTTAAGGATTTCAGTGAGTTTGACGAGGGCCAAATTATGATGGCTCGATGACTGGGTCAGCGGGGTGTTCACAGTCACAATCTATTAATAGCAGCCCAAGGAATGAACACTGGTGAACCAGTGACAGGGTCATTATCGGCCAAGGTTCACTAATGCATGTGGAGAGCGAACAAATGAGCTACTGTAGCTCAAATTGCCGAAAACGTTTATGCGAATTTCTGATTAAAAAGTGTCCGAATACACAGTGCATCACAGTTTCTTGTGTACGGGGCTGTATAGCTGCAAAACAGTTAGGGTGATTATGGCCCCTCTTCACCACTGAAAGTGAGGATCAGAACTGGAGCAGAGAGCAATGGAAGAAGATGGCCTGGTCTGATGAGTCACATTTTCTTTCACAACATGTGGATGGCCAACTTTGTGTGCATTGATTACCCACAAAACACCTGGCACCAGGATGCACTATGAGAATAAGGCGAGTCGGCAGTGGCAGGGTGATGCTTTGGGCAATGTTCTGCTGGGAAACCTTGGATCCATCCATGTGGATGTTACTTTTACATGTAGCAGCTACCTAGACACTGTTGCAGACCATCTACACCCTTTCAGTGAAATGGCATTCCTTGAAGTCTCTTTCCACAGGACATTGCACCCTGCCACAAAGCGAAAATGGTTCAGGAATGGTGCATGAGGTATTTACTTGGTCTCAAAATTTCAAAGCCCTCAATCCAATCAAGCATTTGTGGGATGTGCTGGACAAACAAGCCTGATCCATGGAGGCTAATATCTTGGTCCAGATACCACAGCATACCTTCACGGATCCAGTGGAATCCATGACAAATCAGGGCTACATGGCAGCAAAAAGGGTCCCAACACAATATTAAACAGGTGGTCATAATGTTATGCCTGATGGGTGTATGTCCAGGCATGCCTATGAACCAAAACACATTGGTATATTTTTTTTAAATTGTCATGCACATTATACAGAGAGCAGGGAAAAGAAATACGGATTTGATAAGTCAAAAGAAAGCACACCGTATGCTTGAGGACACAAGTAAAGATCCCTGGATACTGAAAATATTAAACTACACTAGATGTTCCATAAACACTGGACCTGAATATTTTCAGCAGTGTATCTATTTGTGAAAAAGAAAGTGTCAAAGCAAATGTGTGTATATTTTTTTACATGTTTGTTCTATGGCATTTTCTTGAGGAGTAACTAAACTCAATCACTAACTGCACTGTATCAATTATAATCCAAATAAGCATCTTCAGACATGTCTGAATCGCTCTTGTAACTGATTTCCAGACACAACATCCTGCAAAATATATGATCTGACATATGGCTGCCAAATGCATTAACAGACCATTTATCATTTTTTCTCTGCATACATTAGCATCCACATACACAGTTCATTCACCAAGTGAAACATACAAATAAATAAAACCTCTCGAGTATTGTCTATGCATGCCTTTTATTAATTTATCTACCTTTTTAATATACCATCTAAAGTCTTCATGGATCAGTGTGACTCCTGCTCAGCAGTCTAACTAAGCAGTGCAATCTAATCAACTCATCATCCAAATTCATCAGCTTCCTTGAATTATGCAAAGAAGTCTGGTCCAAACAATCCCACATAGCACTACATCGCCACAGGAAGTAGAGTCAGACAGACCTCCTTTGTCTTTCTAAAGCACAGACCTAAATATAAAAAAGAAGTGGATAACTGTCTGGTACTTGACTAACTTCATTGTCATTCATTGACTGCTGCCAGCATGTAAACTTGAATAAGCACCAAACAGCAGCTGAGATCGAGAGGAAAAGCTGCGGATTAGAGGAGAATGGAAGGAGTGATGAAAGGAAGGAGGGTGCTGTTCTTTTACTTATTTAGCCCTTTAAATATCAACACCAGAGACCAATAAAACCAAGATTAAAGCTAGATCAATGCAGCCTACCCCTTCACTTTCTCCTGCACACATAAGTAACTGGCATAACTAATATAACGTAACCGTAAAAGTGGCCAAAATGATCAATCATGGAACAATTAGCAGAATTCATAATGCAGTCATTAACAATTTAAAAGTGTGAACAGAACCATGCCTTCGGGAACACGCCTGAAATTACTGTATTTACACTTTGAAGGTATGAGTGCTGTTTGACGCAATTTAGTGCCTACGAATAGATTTCAAGAGTAGCACACAGGAAATCATATGCACACAGAAGGATTGTTATGTACACACAAACACACACACACACACACAGAGGGAGAAAAAGGGAAAAAGCATTTTTGTTTCAATAGTGTCCAGACTTGGGAACAGCCTTAATGAGTGAATGAGTCATAATTCAAAATCCCTCCACAGGAGCTGCTAATAAGAATCCAGTTTGATGCTGCTCACCACGTTCCCATCTTTGTGAGCAAGTACAAAAGCAGTTAGGAGCTGGAAAACACAAATACTTGTGCTTTGTTTCTGTGGTGCTCCCTCCTTCCACCCTTCTGTCTACATCCTGTCTCGAGTCCTGCTGGGACTGAGGGGGCACATGCCACCAGTCTCCAGCCAAGTAATCACTGGGGCTTTGCATTTATATTCATGTGTGAGACGCCTGGTGGAATTTACCATACTTCATTTCATTTGTATGAGCAATGCAGTAGGGTATTTTTTTTTTACAAAGAACTTCTTGATGCGATTATCGGTGCAAGTGTATAATTGTTGGTGTATTGCTGCACATCAGAGTGACTCACCAGGCTCTCAGTCTAAAGGCCTGTGGTATATCTGGGTTGACCATGACTGTTGAACTGAACAATGCAGAGAGAGATCTTCCCCCAAAATCAGACAATCGAGCTCCTTTGATGGCAACCACTGGCTGTGTAGAGCCATCAAAATGTTCTGCCTGGAGAAAGAAAAAAAAAAAGAAGAAGAAAAGTGTCTAAGAAAGTAATTCAGGAGACAGAATGCGAGGCTGCAAAAGCAGTTGTATTATTGTCTCTTACTTGTTTAGTCTGTGTCTGCAGCTTGAAGACACCAGAAAGTAATATTTGGTATGGTGTGCTTTCATAATTGGACAACCTACAAGTTAATTTGAAAGTCATTTTTGGATTTCTGAAAAAAGGAGGGGATTAGCTCTTGCAGATCGAATGAGCTTAGAGAAGAATAGTGCTATTTCATGCACATTCGAGAGTTATTTAGCCTTCTGTCTCAAATAGGAGACTCTCGTCCAAAAAATCACTGAAGGTCACAGGAATGATTTGACCGATCCAAATTTTACAGCCCAGAAAACCTAATCAGAGTGTTTTTGTACTCGAGAGCACCCAAAGAGAGATGTGTGACTACACATGCATGGCTGTATGCACACACACATACATGGGCAACTACATAAACATGTTCAATTAAAGAGTGCTCAACACTTTTTAATGTCAAATTGGAAATCAATCCATGGATACAAAAAGACAGAGAGTGAGAGAGAGATTACAGTTATTACCTCTTCGCCCCACAGTGTGACTGTCACGACTTTGCCTGTTTCGTCGATTATGCTGAGAGCCCTCTTGGAGACTTCTCTGCTGTTCTTAGTGGTGATACGGGATACATCCTCAGCACTCTTACATATTCCAATCACATCTAGAGGTAGAGAAAATCATTTTACAACTCCATCTCTTGATAACAGGAAGACAATATCCTTACAGTTGGGCATGAAAAAGAACGTTATGTGAAGAGCACCTCCTGAGATGTCTCTACACAGTGTAGAATTTAAAAATGCCCCCTGGATATACTCTACATAATGTGAAGTGTTATCACATCATAAGCAGTAAAGGCCCAACAGAGCACAGAGCTGACACCCCTCTGATATTGCCAAGTTACAGCAGAGTGACATAAATGTCATACCAGGCTGGCTAACACCCAGCACCACTTTCCAAATGACAACAAACACACTCATCCCTCTTTCAAGTTTCTTGTCATGTCAAGGCCTAAACACTTCATTCAGGATTACTGCACTGAGGAGCAATGAGGAGCTCTAAGATAATAAAGAAAAAATGATAAAAACAAAATATTCAAATACAGATTTCAGTTCGACTTGAGTCAACAATTGCTTTGTTCCTTTACAAGGTGGAATCAAAATGGCATGACTCCACCCATAAAAAGCATAAAGAAAACATGACTGAATATGGCAGATTTCTCCATCTAGGTAGTCTTCTTAAGAAGCTCATCACAATTTCCTCCTGCTATAACTGGATCACTCCCTGTAAGCTGTCTGTTTCAAAGTGCTGTAAACAGCCACATGATGGCATTCACCGTGGCATTCAGATCATTTGTTCCCTCAGATACATCAGAAAATGACAGAATTGTGCACCGATAGTCTAACCATGGAGGACAAACTGGTAGTGCACAAACATACTCCTGCTAATACACCTGAAGTTAAATCTGAAGTACCTGTACCTGAAGTGTACCATTTTCTGGTTGTGGCTAATAAAGCTGTTTGGCTTCTGGGTCAAAACCCAGCTCTCATCAACATGTAAATCAGGTACTATTTTGTGTTTTGCGGTCATTGTCTCCAGCGGTGTATTTCATAAAGTAATTATCGTCTCACTGTGAAGAAACTGCTTGGTACCAGCATCTGCAGTACTGTAGTATTATAAAAATGCTGCTATGTGATGACACCACTGATAAATTACCCCAAATATCTTTTCCATGCATTAAATTCTGTAAAAACAGCAAGCTGTCATATTAACAAGATCAGACATTTACATCATATCTCTGATGGGTGATTATAGGTATCAGACAGGCGTTGACTACCTGTCATAAGAAAACACAAATATTTATTCATTAAGCAAATAACAAACTAAATAAATGTTTTATACCAAACTCTAGACAAGTCAGAAATTAATTAAGTATGACATCCATCCATTTAAACTATTTTTTAATCAAAAAATAATCATGTTTACAATGGGTTTTTTTTGTTTTTTATAAAAAAGCAAATGTGAAAATGCACAGATAACAACAATAATTATATTTTAGTATTAAAAACAACATTTGAATTAAAACGTTTGTGCATAAAGGTGGATTAACCATTACTGAAAGAGAAGAAATGAGTTTTGGTACAAAATACTGTTACAAATACTGTTTTTACTATTTTACTATTACTATTTTGAATATTGCCATCTCTGAAAAGCCTCATTGCGGGTGACTGTTGCCATTTCACTTGAGATAAATGATGTTTATAACATTATTTATCTCCTTGTGTACGTGAAATAAAACAAAAAAATCTACGGGGGTCTGTAGCACGTTTCATGGTGTCCTGAGGATTTACACATTTGTGTTCATGTATTTAACAAAATAACTACACTGAATAACAACACCTTTTTTCAGATCACTCATCTGGCCTTTCTGCCTTCTCTGCTAGCCTTTTTCTAAACTCTCCCCTTCCTACCCATCCTCCCGGTATTTCTGTCAGTGCTCTCTCAGCCCTCCTTAATTCCATTATGATTGAGACGTCATCCACCTCTGAACTCCATTATCACCACAGGAACAGGCTGACAGTTCTCATTACCATGTTATAATCCCCTATTTAACAAAGGAGTAGAGTGAGAGGCAGTCGAGGGAGAGAGCGAGTAGAGAGTCAACAGATGACACACAGGACATGTAACACTGCCCCTCTGTGACCAACGCAAACACACTCCTACAGCTAAACTGCTCAGTGCATCTCTAAACTCTTTAGTGTGGTGCTGTGCTGGTAGTTTGCAATAATGTAACCATGTAATATAACTATTCAGGATGTAAACCTACATGGAGCTTTCAATTGGTAGGGTACAGCCAGTTGCTTATATTTCTTTCTGACCATTAATTTCTTTTATAGTGTGTCCAGCACTTAAAAGATTCAAAATGCCTGCTTCTGTGCTATCAGTTTTCTTACTTGCTCTGTTAGCCCATGACGCTACAACACTGGATTACTGTGCAATGCAAAAATCAAATCTCACACAGCGCACAGCTCTAGCATAAGACAAATGCAACAGACCTGAACTTTTCAACCCACAGACGCCAGCAGAATAGGTTTCATCCAAACAGGATTTAGTGTAAAATTCCTCTTTAATCTTGTTTTAAAAAGCTGTTTGTTTTTAGCTTGCACAAAAAATGTATTGGAATAAATAAAGAACAACTAAGCAACAAAAACAACATATTCCTGTGAGAATTACATCAAAAATCACAAACTAAAGTGAAGTCAGGCCAATAAAAATCAGAAGAGAAAACTGATTTAAATTTGACAAATCTCCCCTTCAAGGTAGTGTCCTTGCACGTTTCTGGACTCCTTCCAGTCTGACTGCTATTTTGTTTTATTGTTAACTGAAGGCCCTTGTTTGTACTTGTGCAGACTATAAACATCAACTTCTGTGACACTTTCACATTCAGAGCTCAGTCTCGTTGTACAAGTCGCAGATTAAACAAATGTTATGCATTG